TGACTACATTAAAGGTAAGTGCTCAGTCAAACTGTATCCATTCCTCATTATTTATTACTTTTACTGTACTGTATCCATTCCTCATTATTTATTACTTTTACTGTACTGTATCCATTCCTCATTATTTATTACTTTTACTGTACTGTATCCATTCCTCATTATTTATTACTTTTACTGTACTGTTTCCATTCCTCATTATTTATTACTTTTACTGTACTGTATCCATTCCTCATTATTTATTACTTTTACTGTACTGTATTTCATTGTAGATTTTTTTATTTTTTTTAATTTTGAATTTATTTTTTATTTTTTGAATTTTTTTTTTTTTTTTTTTATCTCTCGGACTTACGACCAATCAGACTTACGACCTGGATTTGGGTCCCTAACCCCGTCGTAAGTTGGGGAGCACCTGCATATGTACGTATATATATAGTGATTTAAGAGCGATTTAGCGGAATTTTAGGAGTGTTTCTGACTATGCGTTTTTGGCTTTACTTTGTATATACAGTGACCCCTCGATTAACGAACACCTCGGTTCACGTAATTTCGATTCACGAACTGCCTTCCATAAGGATCTTCAATTCGGTTAACGAAAAAAAATTCGCTTAACGAACTTCTTACGAACCGACCTCAACATGTTTTCGCTTGCACTGACCGGGCAACCAGGTTTAGTATCAGTCCGCCAATACATTAATCGGTTCTAGTGCTTAAATTCCTTACTATTTTAGGAAAAATATATAGAAGTTTATACTATTCAATAATTTTAAAAGTTTAATATTCAATTTTTTAGTCATTTTAACAATTATTGAACATAATTGAAGGTAAAGTGACTAGTTTAATGCACGGCATCCAGCCTCTTAACACAGCAAACAGGCGTCAGTCTCTCTCTGTTTTCACTGGAGGTAACATCTTGCTTGAGACTCTCTTCAACTAAACGCTTTTTTTCTGTGTTTCCAAGCAAATTATTGGTCATTTTGAAATATATTTTATATATTGACAATATATAATGCAGTGCAGCGTTGATTTAAAGAAAATAATCTTGAATTAAACCAGAGAGCTAAAATTTTATGGGTGAAATGGCGCCATGGGGTGACTTCTCTTCCACCCCAATGCCTTCTCTTCTTCCTTCTCCTCCACCCCCATTCTAAATCCCATCACCATCATCATCATCCAGGAGCCTTCTACATACACACCTCAAAGTAAGTGAACTTTTCTACCATTTTTGTTGAATTTAGGAAATTTTCGGTGAGCTGGAACCAATTACCCAAAAACCCATTGAAACAATGGTTTCGGTTAACGAACGTTTCGGTTTACGAACGACCTTCTGGAACGGATTGAGTTCGTTAACCGAGGGGCCACTGTACTTTTCTGTGAGCTGGAACCAATTACCCAATATCCCATTGAAATAATGGTTTCGGTTAACAAAACTTTTGGTTAACGAACGGCTCTGTGGAACGAATTGTGTTCGTTAACCGAGGGACCATTGTATTTACCAATTACACTTTCTAAATTAAATCATCTCCCACCAATTACATTTCAGGACGCTATCATTATGCCGAATTCTGAAATAAATATGCTAGGCCTCAACATTTCCTCCAATATGTCCTGGAAACCACACATCCTTAACATAGCTAAAGCTGCCTCCCGAAAGTTGGGAATGCTGTACAGATGCCGTAGCTACTTCACTCCTGAGCATTTGCTTCAAGTACAGTATATAAGGGATTCATTCGTCCTATCTTGGAGTACTGCTCTCATATCTGGGCTGGCTCTTCTTCTGTCCAACTGTTAGGTAGAGTGGAATCAAAGGCATTTCGTCTTATTAACTCTCCTCCTTTAGTCGACAATCTCTCTTCCCTTTCTCTTCGTCACAATGTTGCTTCACTTTCTCTTTTTTACAGGTACTTTAAAGGGCAATGTTCGGTGGATTTGGCATCCTGTGTACCGCCAGCAAGGCCGTGGGCTCGTAACACACGTCTTGCCCGCGGTGCCCACCGTTTCTCTGTGGATGTCGGTCACACGAGAATAACCCGTTATAGTACCTCCTTCTTTCCTCACACAGCCAAACTGTGGAATGCTCTGCCTTCTTCTGTGTTTCCATACTTATACAATCTGTCTCACTTTAAAAGGCTGGTTTTCCGGCATCTTCGTGGTGTAGATTAACACAGTATAACCTTTTTCTTCTCTTTTTTAATTTCTTTCTGTTCTTATTTTTTCGCCCCCCCCAAGGCCCCGCTGTGGGTCGTTTGACCTGTGTCCGGGTAGGCTAATTCCCGTAAAAAAGAAAAACAGTAACGCCACCATTATACACATAACAGATGGTACACTGTACTGTACCGTACTGTATTGTACCATACTGTACTGTACGGTACAGTACAGGTATCTGGCCAGATAAAAAAAATCATAATCTGTTGCATCCCTGACACTTTTTTTTTTTACTTTTCCTTATGTTAATTACCTTTTATAAAACAGAAATATGTTAGTCAGACATACAGTGCAGGGTATAACAGGATGGGTGAAAACTTCCCTTGGACAGGCACAGGTACAGTTGGGTGAGTGCAAGATAAAGGCAAACATGTAACATCCCTGCCAGAGGTGGCGGTGTGCACCAGATAAACTCACCTGTAAGAATATCCATTCTTAGTTGCGAGAGAGTCGTGATGGCTGTGTGATACATGGAACACACCATGGCCACTGTCGCCACTGCAGGAGAACCCAGTTTCCGAGAACCTCCCCCTCTCAGGGAACCCCCAGTGCTACTGGAACTAAGTTTACGCTCCAGTGCCTTCTTCAGTAGATTTGAAGGAGTCATGGAGCTTAAGTTGGCAAATGAGGAGGTGGTGGAGGAAGCAGTGAATCCTGAAGTGTTGTTGGGGTCATGTGTAGGCAGCTCCTAGAAGCACAGTACACCATCACTCAGGCTAGTTGTAAATAGTCAACAAAATATAAACACAACCTCTCAACAAAATCAATCAGTTAATCTTCAATGAAAACAATTAAAAATTTCTTGTTATTCTGACATAATTTTTTCCCAGTTACAGAGAATGGCTGAACTAATGACATATACACTCTCTCTCTTCATTCATTCTTTTTACTGTAACAATTGTTTTCAACTATGGTACTGCACTAAACCATGGTCCCAAATACTCACCTACATCACCACTGTGATTTAACACAACCCACAACACCACTGTGGTTTAACACAACCCACAACACCACTGTGGTTTAACCACCTCAGTCTACCTCACCAACACTCTCAGTACAGTACCCAGCTGCCCTCTTAGCTCTGAGCAGGGAGTCCTATCTGTCAGTGTCAAATTGCCTGTATCTCTTAATACTGTACACACTGAGTTACCACCTCAACCATATAGAGTATTGAGTTACCACCTTAACCATATAGAGACTGAGTTACTACCTTAACCAAAAAGAGTATTGAGTTACCACCTTAACCATATAGAGTACTGAGTTACCACTTTAACCATCATAATGTTCACACCATATCAGTACACCAGTTTTATCAAGCACATTATTTACAAACTATTGTAAAATTTACCTGATCAATGACCAGGTTAGAGAGAGAAGAGAACATGACCCTGATGACAGAGCCTGACCACAGCAGTTGTAGCTGAGACTTGACCAACGCTAATGACTCATTCAAGTGTTGATCGAGGGGCCGTGAGAACCAGCCCAGTACAGGGTGCCACTGAGTCAGACTGCTCTGCTTCGTGGTGACGTACTCCCCGCACTTCTCCAGTAGTCGCTTCACTACAAACTGTTAAAGAGATTCTTATAATGCTGCAGTAATCCCCTGTTAGTAAGAGATTAGTAACCAGGTCAACATGACTAACACAAGCAAGTGTGGAAAGTGGCCATAAACCGGTGATGATGATGACTTTACAGTATTTCCAAGTTAATTAACTACAAGGATGATGTATCATATACATACTCACATTTAACTTGGGAAATGCTAATTTGGGTAAAGAAGCTTCCCTCTCCTCATACGCCAGATGGACGAGGTTTGCCAAGAGACAGAGAGCGTATGAACCTTCCAGTGTATTGAATACTATACGTAAATTTTGTTCAGTCTGCACAAACTCCACCACTCTCTCAAATAACTCATTACTGCGCAGCATTTGTAAAGCCTAAAAAAGAAAAGAGAAGTTGGTGATAATTATTTCCTTTGCTAAACCTAAAAGATGTTACATAATTGAAATTAAAACTTGGCCTAATTCTTTGAAACATACAGTACCTTCAGGTTACTTCATTCAAAATGCCCTGGAGTATTTCTATTATTGAAAATGTATTATACCCAGATGAGATGCAGAGTGTATCAATAATGTACTGTACTTACTGCACCTCACTCCCACATTACTTCATGAACTTAGGTTAATTTAAGCTTAAGTACTGTACACTACATTACACTCCACAGTCTCTCTCTTATGATGCATCTTACAGCTAGTGATAACATCAACTATACTGTATACATACTGTACATTGATTCACCAGATATAAGACATAATACAGCATTATTACCCTTTACTTAATTTAACTTATGTGAACAGTGATATAGTACCTCAGGAGCCAGGGTGACCAGGTGGTGGACCAGTGTTGGTACACTGAGTGTATGGATGGTGATGAGGGAGAGAAGTTTATCCGAGTACTGGGCCGCCACAAGAGGACGCAGTGCTAGTGTCAGGATGGTGGTGATGGCAGGGCCTCGCAGTGCTGCTTTTCCACGACATAATCCTCGCACCAGCACGTGCTTATAAAAAATTACATAAAGAGGGTGAGTAACTCTCCTTATAACATTATTCATCACATAATAACCCACCAATGTCATGACAAAATACAATCTTTCTCCAAGAGTCATGACATTTGTCACAGTTTGACATATGAGACTGTAAGAAAAGTGTCCAGGATACAGTAATCCATCACTGACCACAGGGGTTATGTTCTACAATTCCCCGTGGTCGGCAAAACTGTGGTTGGTAAAGGCTGACTCTAATGGTAAATAAGGAGTTGAAAAGTGCCCCCTGAGAGATATACCTAAAGTCCTATAAATAATGTATAGTTGAAGGTTTAACATATGTACAGGGTGTATGCTATATAGTGCAGTACGAGTACCTATAAAAATGTTTATTATACTTTAAAAGAAAAAACTATTATACTGTACAGTAAACTGAGCAGGTATTAAAAAAACCTTTGGAAAACAGTGTAATGGAACAGTCTTCCCTGACATCAGGCCTGCCTCCATAATCTTTCGAGAAATGAACATTGCTGCTCCCCAGAAACACAAATGTGTATGATATGCTATGAGGATTTGATGCATAAATGTGTGTATAAACAGCATCACATAGTAATCCCTCACCAAGCATGGTGTTGAGAATCCACGTCTTATATTCTGTACACCATTTACCAATTGTGTGTGTGTGTGTGTGTGTGTGTGTGTGTGTGTCTAAACACACACACATTAACAGTACAGTGGTCCCTCGATTAACGAATGTAAGTATATTATGTATGTTGTATGTATACCATGTATGTACTCTATATATATATATATATATATATATATATATATATATATATATATATATATATATATATATATATATATATATATATATATATATATATATATATATATATATATACATTACTTCTCTAGTCAGTAGTGTGTGGCAATGCCCCTGTTTCATGTCACCACACGCTTAGATAAATGTGCCTGGCGACATCTGGAAGCTGCTAGTATACCACCTACCACATGTCGCCTGAGAGGTCAGAGTGAGGTCAGTTGACCCTATAGGAGTGTAGGAACTACCTGCGCTTGTAAGCGCACCCTGTATATTTCTGTTGAATAGAAGCTACGAAACTCTACAGGTGTTTATGTTCGCCCCTGTAGTTAGAACTAAGTACCCCGAACATCTCCAACGAATACAATTGGTTCCACAGAGTCATTGTTAACCGAAAATTTCGTTAACCAAATCTATTATTTCAATGGGATAATGGGTAATTGGTTCCAACTCACAAAAAAGTATACATACAAAGTACAGGTAGTCCCTGACTTACGACCGACTCGATTTACGTCCACCGGCACTTACGACCGCCTCGGTCGTACCAAAATGTGGTCAAATTATGTATTTTTGAGTGCCAAAGTCAGCACACAGACAAAATTTTCATTTGTAATTCACTTTAAAATGGCTGGCAAGCTTAAAAGTGAGTGTTTTGTGGTGTTGAAAAGAAAAAGAGACCCAAATTTTCGATTTTCTATGTGTTATTTAAGCATTTCCGACTTACGACCATTTCGACTTATGACCTGGATGTCGGTCCCTAACCCCGTCATAAGTCGGGGAGTACCTGTACTGTATACTGGCAATAGAATAAACAAAACATTAAATATAAACTAAATACAGTACTGTACTGTACAGTATAATGTACTGTATAATAATAAATAAAAAACAATAGAATACACGGATTTAGGCGGTCAATTGAACCCACAGGGTACAGTACCTTGGAAAGTGAAAACCGCGTAAAGTGAACAACAGAACATATTGGATTAATTCCAATAGAGACTGGCCCAACCCCCAAACTCTACTTTTCAGTAAAAATAACATCTAAATTTTATGATGGTATGCTCACACAATTAATATTTAAGAGAAATATTTGGGTGAAACCACTAGATTTTAACTTTTAGTAATAAATAATACCTCAGACTAAAGTTAGGATAATATAATTGACATTTCTAGATTCCTTGCAGGTCAGGGAATATTTTGATTGTAAACTTCATATATTTTGCACAAAAGATAAAATATTTGCTTTGTGTAAACCAAATTATTACATTAGATCTAAAATTTGTATGTCTCATGCAAAATCAATGATGTTTATATTGAAAATGATCATCACATTGTAAGAATTCCAGCAATGTAAATTATATTCTGGCCGGGTAATTTGTATGAATTTTATGAGCTAAAACAAATATCTTCAGTAAATAAACAAAGAAATATTCTTCAAGGACACTATCTGTCAATCAAAATACCCCACCTCCGCCCTCCCTCCCTTCCTACGCCCACCCCCCGCCTTCCCTCCCTACCAGAGAAGCGATTGGGAGAAAATAGTATATTTACATTTTTAGTAATAAATAATAACCCAAACTAAAGTTAGGATAACATAATTGACATTTCTGGATTCCTTGCAGGTCAGGGAATATTTTGAATGTAAACTTCATATATTTTGCACAAACGATAAAATATTTGCTTTGTGTAAACCAAATTATTACATTAGATCTAAAATTTGTATGTCTAATGCAAAATCCATGATGTTTATATTCAAAATGATCATCATATTGTAAGAATTCCAGCAATGTAAATTATATTCTGGCCGGGTAATTTGTATGAATTTTAATAGCTAAATAAAAAAATAAAAATAAAATTATACTTCACCGCGTATATGAGTAGATGCACAGCGGAACCATCGCGGAACCGTGTAAAGCGTAAAGCGGAGTAATACTGTACTGTATTTTAACTTACTTTGAGGTGTGTATGTCGTATTCCCGGCAGCTTTGTTTACATATCAAGCAGCTGATTGTAGAAGCAGTCGATGATGACATGCCATATTCTTTACAGACTGCATTGGTTCTAATGCCTTCTTCATGTTTCATAATAATTTCTGCACTGTATATTATCAATATGTTAACTAAATTTCAGAATGACCAATAATTTTAAAGTAAAAATGCAAAAATATTCAAGAGACCAACAAACTCGATGCTCACTCCACTGTAAACAAAGTTAAACTGAGAAGAGTTGGTGGGTGATTCAATCAGCTGATGGGCAAACAAAAACTGTTCCCTGTACTGTATATATTCAGAATGACCAATAATTTTAATATAAAAAATGCAGAAATATTCAAGAGCACAATTTTCTTGATATTTACTCCACTGGAAACGAATGTAACCATAGAACCAATTACTGTATTGGCGGACTAGCCGATCAGCTGATGCGCACAACAAATCGTGTTTCTCGTAAGGCTTTCGTTAATCAAAGTTTTGTTCTTTAATGGAATTGAAAATCCTTATGGGAGCTAATTCTTTAACCACAATTTTTTTAATTGACCCGTTCGTTAATCGAGGGACCACTGTACAGGTAAAAGAAATAATTGTCCTAAGGGCAAACATATAAAGGGAATACAGTATAGTCTGGGTTTAAGCGGATATTTTATACACGATTGGCCATTTACGCGGCACCTGTCCAGACGCGACAATTATTAGTTTTGCGGTACATTCCTTAATTTATGCGGCGGGCAAGGTGCTGGGCGCTGACGTCACCGCTGACGTCAGACTCGTGCCGATGATGTCGCGGACTGTGAGTGGGCCACGCATCCTTACCACCCACGCACCCCCTCCGCCGCGCTCTGTGATTGGTCTATTAACCTTGCGTGCCCCTACCACCAGGTTGATGACCTTGGCCGCGCCAGTCTCACTGTCCCCGCTTATACTCGCTCGTGCCCGGGAATCCGTTTTGTTTTTTCTTTCTACACAATGGCTACCGCTAGACCCCCACCACCCCTGAGAAGCCCTGAACTACCTGGCCCAAGCCCAAGAAGGTGCGCCTTAAGCTATGAGGTTAAGTACAAGATCGTTCAGGAGTTAGAAAAAGGCACGAGGCAGGTTGATCTGGCCAGACAATATGGAGTGAATGAATCGAGCCAGCCCAAGTTAGTGATAGTGAGGATATGGACTTTGAGGGGTTTGACAAGGAGACCCTGCTAGCCTCTGTGGTGGATAGAGATACAGGTGACACAAGTGATACAGGTGATGGCCCTCTGCCCTCTGCCTCGGAACCAACCCCCCATCCCCGTGTGCCCAGCCATTTCTTCTACTAACGTAAGTGTTAAAAAACCTAAAATTATTGAGATTTCTTTTAAATATTAATTGTGTGCGCATACCATCATAAAATTAAGATGTTATTTTTACTACAATGTACAGTACAGTATTGTGTTGGCGATAGCCCAAAAAAGGGTAGTCTGGGGGTCGGCCCAGTCTCTATTTCAATTAATCCCATATGTTCTGTTATTTTATTTACGCATTTCGCTTTATACACGGACCTCCATGGGTTTAATTAGGCGCGTAAACCCAGACTATACTGAATACATTTCTTTGCACACAACTAATAAAGGTGTGAATAAAGCTGTGTCACAGTACTGTACACACTGCTGCTAAGCATATGAGAGCCCACGACAACACCAGCTGCTCGGTGACTAGCTGAGTGTATAAAAGACCTACTAAAAATTAAATTTTTTCCTAAGATTTTCAACCCAAAGCGGCTAAAACACATTCATATGGCGTATAAAAACCCCAAAAGTGTTAAATCTTGGCTAAAATTTACAGTAGGTTTGGTGTTCCTAGGGAGCTTCACTTAGAAACCCCTCCACTCTGTACATTAGAACATTGATTTAACGCAAATTCATTTAAAATTATTGATTTAAAGCAACACCCACAATTAACCCTTAGGCCCCGGGTAACATCCCAGAACATCCGACCAACGTGCCCCGGGTGACGTTCTAGAACGTTGATCTATTCCCGCCATCGATTTAATTACTCCCAGCAGCACGCTAACCCGGGGTTTAAGGGTTAAGGACAACGTATCAATTTAAAGCGAATCTTTCCTATTTTACGCAAATCAAATTTGGCACTATTTTAAGTTTCACGCCTAATGTTTCCCTCCAGACGCCTCTCTGGGCACGCTACAAGGCTGCCCGTCACCCTCCCATACCCTCAGCTCTCGCGCTGACGCTCTAGTGAACGGACATATTGTGTGACACTATATCCTTCTACCACGTGTATCAACCATCGCCACTATGTCCAAGAGGCCAGCCACTACCCCAAAGACCAAGAAATCAGGGCAAGCAATTAAACTGGAGCAGAAAAACAATGTGCTGGAAGCACTGCAAGCATTGATGTGGGGCTTCAAGTGTGGGGCGCCAATTTGAATGACTTGCCTAACTAAAGGTGGGTGAAAATCTATTTTTGATAGCATAAAGTAATGAAAAACTAAGTCGAGAGGAAAGTGAAAGTGCTTGATGAGTGGCAGGGATGGAGTGAGGCAGATGAGAGGCGGGCGGTGTGCGGCGCCAGAACGACCACCCTCTCACATCAGCCGATCGCTAGTAAATAGACCATTTCGCGTCCCCGTAATTTTAGCCGTGTTGATTTATGAGTGCTTGTTTTAGCATAATACTACAAAAAACAATGTTTTGTTTATTCTAGGAGATGGGCTGAGGTGCATCTGGGTAGACTCTCAGTCAGCGCAGGGGGAGGGCCAGTGACGTGAGGCAGCAGACAGACAGTACAGTACAGTACAGTACTGTACCACGCAGTAACAATACCGTCCAGCTCTCAACTCGAGCTCTCAACTCGACTGCAGGGGGTGCTGCTTGCTGTATATATATCATTATGCCATATATTGTTCTCATATTTTTTAGTTAATAAAAGTCTTTTTAGTATTTTGTGTTTCTCTCAAGTACCAAACTAAATTATTCCATTGAAACAACACTTCGATTTAGTGCGAATTCGATTTAAAGCGACCACTCTTGGAACGTATCTTGTGTTAAATCAACGTTCTACTGTACTGGAGAACGTTTTTGGAGAGTCTAAACTATGCATCTCACATGTACTGACACAGAGCTGTATTTATTTATGCACACATCACTGTACAGGGAGACCAAATGGTGATACGATAATGCAAGATGGCCTGACCTTGTCCTGTACCATGTGTTACTAACTGTCACTCTCCATGAAGGAGGTATTGTATTGTATACTGTACATACACCCTCTACACAATAGCATATACTGACTACTGTACTGGACAATACATGCTACTACAATAATCTTCATCTACTCTAGCAGAGTCTCAACATAATATAACTGTGACAGATACAGTACTGGTAGGAGAAAGGTTGATCTGAGTCAGGTTGAGGTAAGTCTCCTTTATACTTATTAAAACATCAGTCTATCTTGACACACTCCATGACATTAATATATTGTTGAACTACAAGCTGCATAAATACACTCACATTCAAAGTAGTGTATAGACCTCTACACACTAAATCACCCATGATGTTTTCTGTCAGTTTGTTGAGTGCCGGTCTTAACGGTTCAAAGTTGGGCGAGCGCACAATCTTCCAAGTGTTGGTGGCAGTAAATGTGAGGAGGAGGTGGAGGTAGAGGGAGATGAGGCGGTTCTCCGAGGATATCTCAGCCTGCAGACTCTCCAACACTTTACAGGCAATAAACAGAACCTGTCAGATACACAAACATTGCCCGTTAAAATGCCTGTAAAAGAGAGAGAGTGAAGCAACATTACAGCGAAGAGAAAGGGAAGAAAGATTATCAACTTAAGGAGGAGAGTTAATAAGATGAAATGCCTTTGATTCCACCACATCTAACAGTTGGACAGAAGAAGAGCCACCCCAGATATGAGAGCAGTACTCCAAGTTATGATGAATGAATCCCTTATAAACCCAAAGCAGATATTCAAAGTAAGTAAGTGTGTGTGTGTGTGTGTGTGTGTGTGTGTGTGTGTGTGTGTGTGTGTGTGTGTGTGTGTGTGTGTGTGTGTGTGTGTGTGTGTGTGTGTGTGTGTGTGTGTGTGTGTGTGTGTGTGTGTGTGTGTGTGTGTGTGTGTGTGTGTGTGTGTGTGTGTGTGTGTGTGTGTGTGTGTGTGTGTGTGTGTGTGTGTGTGTGTGTGTGTGTGTGTGTGTGTGTGTGTGTGTGTGTGTGTGTGTGTGTGTGTGTGTGTGTGTGTGTGTGTGTGTGTGTGTGTGTGTGTGTGTGTGTGTGTGTGTGTGTGTGTGTGTGTGTGTGTGTGTGTGTGTGTGTGTGTGTGTGTGTGTGTGTGTGTGTGTGTGTGTGTGTGTGTGTGTGTGTGTGTGTGTGTGTGTGTGTGTGTGTGTGTGTGTGTGTGTGTGTGTGTGTGTGTGTGTGTGTGTGTGTGTGTGTGTGTGTGTGTGTGTGTGTGTGTGTGTGTGTGTGTGTGTGTGTGTGTGTGTGTGTGTGTGTGTGTGTGTGTGTGTGTGTGTGTGTGTGTGTGTGTGTGTGTGTGTGTGTGTGTGTGTGTGTGTGTGTGTGTGTGTGTGTGTGTGTGTGTGTGTGTGTGTGTGTGTGTGTGTGTGTGTGTGTGTGTGTGTGTGTGTGTGTGTGTGTGTGTGTGTGTGTGTGTGTGTGTGTGTGTGTGTGTGTGTGTGTGTGTGTGTGTGTGTGTGTGTGTGTGTGTGTGTGTGTGTGTGTGTGTGTGTGTGTGTGTGTGTGTGTGTGTGTGTGTGTGTGTGTGTGTGTGTGTGTGTGTGTGTGTGTGTGTGTGTGTGTGTGTGTGTGTGTGTGTGTGTGTGTGTGTGTGTGTGTGTGTGTGTGTGTGTGTGTGTGTGTGTGTGTGTGTGTGTGTGTGTGTGTGTGTGTGTGTGTGTGTGTGTGTGTGTGTGTGTGTGTGTGTGTGTGTGTGTGTGTGTGTGTGTGTGTGTGTGTGTGTGTGTGTGTGTGTGTGTGTGCATGTGTGTATAATAATAATAATAATAATAATAATAATAATAATAATAATAATAATAATATATATATAATAAATAATAAGCGGTTTATTAATAGAGCCCGGTGGCTGAAATGCGACTTACATTTGATTTAGACATAATGATATAATATGCATTGAATACATTTACAGGGCTGTACAGTACATAAATCAGGAGTTGTTTATTATTTTAACAATAGATGGGATGGTGCTGTTCTTATATCTATCGGTGCGGGCTCTTATGGGCTGAATTTTGTTGTAGTGGAGGACTGCGCGAGGTGGGTGGGGGGCTGCAGGTGGCAGGAGGTGGTGATGACGAAGGTGGTGTGTGTGTGTGTGTGTGTGTGTGTGTTGATCCTGGGAATCCAAAAATAACTGAGAACTTAGTAGAGGAGGTCCGCGGGTTACGAACGGGTTCCGTTCCTGAGGACGTTCATAAGTCGGATTTGTACGTCAGTTGGAACACATACTATGTGCATACTGTACTTACAGAACAGTGTTTAAAATCCCACTATATCATAGCCTAAGTCCATATATACATCTAAAATCACTTAATTTAACACAACAGAAGAAATAGAATGACAAAATACAGTAAATGAAAGTAAAAAAAGTCATTAGGTAAATAAAATACTGTAAATTTAAAGTTTAACCTCGTTCATATCGGCGGGCGTTCGTAAGTGGGACGTTCATAAGTCAGGGACCTAAATAATAGCCATTAAGATACACTCACATCTTTCATATGATGAATCCAATGTAGTGTGAGCTCCTTGTTCATGCCACAAGATACATAACTCAGCTGCAAGTGCTCACTGTCCATACTTGCCAACAAATACCTACAACAAAGTTAACAAAAATGAAATATTTAATTTTCGCACTTAATTATTTATACTGTATTCAACAGTTAATAGTTAATGGTGGTCCATTTAAAGTTAATATAAGATGCAGTTAAATCTTCAGAATCATTTACTGTACTTATATACAGTATACAACTGTAAACTGTCAAAGATGGTCTACACACAGTGTTAACATCAACACACTAACATACTCAAGTCTTGAAGCTCCTCTCATACTAAACAAGTGATGAATTACATACAAACACTGTCAGCCCCTTTTGTTGTTGAGGAGAATTATGTTTCTTTGTATATCATACAAAAAATATACTATTTCCACACTGACCTGGCCTGTAAGCCACGCCCCTCGTCTATAGCTACAAATAACTGATTGGTTCATAGAAAATGTTGGTGTAGCTGTCCATTTATTCAAACTAAATATGATCAAAGTCAATAAGCAGATCTGTTATTATATAAAATAATGTTAAATATCTGGACCATCAAAATCCTAATTATTTCAAGGCATTATTAGCACCTCAGAGAGGATGTTAGAAAATTTTAAATATTTATCATAAAAGGTCGAAGTCAAAGATAAAAATATCTTTAGAATGAAATATTTTCATTATTTTTTGTTTTGTACCAAACATAAAACAAACAACCAAATGATACCAAACATATAGCACAATAGGTAATGAATTAAAGTTTGTAAGGCTGGATATATCCCAAATCATTTATATAACTGATAAAACTTGGCACATATGAGCATCTGGCCTTGCTGAGTTATCCCAAACTCCTACTTATTAAGGCACTTCCCCCTCCTACAAAAATACAACAATAACAAATTATTGACCCATATACAGTGCATCCTCGTATAACGTCGTCCTGCTTAACGTTGTTTCGGCACTACATAGCTAAACTTTAGAGACCAAAAATTTGCTTAACGTCCCGGGGATCCATTAATACGTCGTTTTGCGTTGTCAGGGATTATTTTCTATGGCGCATCACCCGCTCTTGTCTGGCCGCGCTACGCTCTCTCGGCTCGGCTCGCTGCACTCACTCGTGGAATGTCAGTGTCCCCAAGCGACGCCAAGCCAGTCTCTGTTACGACTTCACATCATTTGTGTGTACTTAAGTGCTTTTGCTCTAAAACTGTACTATAACCATTCAAAATGGCTTCCAAGCGCCCATCAAGTGCTACTGATGCTAGTGCAGTAAAGAGGCAACGTAAGACCATTACCCTTGCTACGAAAATGAATGTATTAAGCCGATTTGAAAAAGGGGAACGCGCTGTGGACATAGCCGCTATGCTTGGTATAACCCCCACAATGGTGCGCACTATCCAGACCAACGCTGACAAGATAAGGTTAGTGCTGGAAGTGGTTCTACTCTCGGTACAACTAAAACAACTCGTACTAGAAGCACTGTGATAGAAAAAGTGGAAAAGATGCTGGCTATGTGGCTGGAGGACCAGAATCAACACAATGAGCCTGTGAGCCTTATGGTTATCCAGCATAAGGCCGGATCCTTGTTTGACGACATGAAGAAAGAAGCGGATGAAGGATCGAAGGAAGAGACCTTTACGGCCAGCCGAGGATGGTTTCAATGATTTAAGCGCAGGTATAACTTCCACATTATTAAGATGATTGGTGAAGTAGCTAGTTCAGATACGGTTGCTGCAGAAACATTCCCGCCAGAATTTAAATGGATTATCCAGGAAGGAGGCTACTCATTGAAGCAAGTCTTCTTTGTGGATGAGACTGGTCTCTTTTGGAAGAGGATGCCTGAGAGGACCTATATCTCCAAGGAGGAGAAAAGAGCGCCAGGTTTTAAAGCAGCAAAAGACCGCTTGACGCTGCTGCTTGGCGTGAACGCTGCATGCGACTTCAAGCTGCAGCCGATGTTGATTTGTCGTGCTGCGAACCCACGGGCCCTGAAAGGTTACTCTAAGGATCACCTTCCTGTCATTTACAAGGCAAACAAAAAGGCATGGATAACCGGCGCCATATTTAGCCAGTGGTTAAATATGTACGCCGTCCCTGCAATGGAGGAATACTGTGCCAAGGAGAACCTTGACTTCAAAATTCTTCTGACCGTTGACAATGTTCCAGCTCATCCTACCAATCTCGACGACTTGCATGACAGTGTAAAAGTTGTATTTCTGCTTCCCAACATGACAGCACTGATGCAGCCTATGGACCAAGGCGTCATCGCCGGATTCAAGGCGTATTATTTATGCCGTACCATGGCCCAGCTGCTCAAGGCTACAGACAGAGAAACAAACCCACGATCTGAGAATATTGGCGCGGCTTCAACATTCTTCATGCAATTGACAACATTGGCAAGGCATGGGAAGAGGTTGCAGAAAGTTGCCTGATGGTGTGTGGGGTAAATTGTGGCCCGAGTACGTCAACAGTTTTACGGGATTCACTGACTTAGTCCCAGCTGTGAATAGGGATATCCTCAGCTTGGCTAGACAGGCAAGCTTTGATGAGCTGGAATCAGAGCCACTGAGGATGTCCTGGCATCCCATACAGAAGAGCTCACCAACGAAGATCTGCAACTGTTAACAGAACACAGTCCTGTTGAAGACGACGACGAAGAACCTCAACGAACGCTGACTTCCAAGAGGATGGCAGAATCATTCAACATGTTCAAGAAAGAAATGCAAATCCTTCTAGATGATGACCAAAACAGAGAACGTAGCTCAAAGGTTCAACGCAGCATTGATGACAGTCTTGGTTGTTACACCGAGATCTATAATGAGAAGAAGATGAGTAGCACCAAGCAGTCAACACTGGATTCATTTGTTCGTCGCAGGACGGCAGAAGCAGCTTCTTCACAACAGCTGGTAGCCGAGGAGGAGCACACAGCAGCCGAGGAGGAGCACAAAGCAGCCGAGGAGGAGCACACAGCAGCCAAGGAGGAGCACACAGCAGCCGAGGAGGAGCACACAGCAGCCGAGGAGGAGCACACAGCAGCCGAGGAGGAGCACACAGCAGCCGAGGAGGAGAACAAAGCAGCCGAGGAGGAGCAAAACAGCAGCCGAGGAGGAGAACAAAGCAGCCGAGGAGGAGCAAAACAGCAGCGGAGGAGGAGTAGGCAGCCGCAGTCTCAGTGACTCACCACCATCCTCTGCTCCCGCCCTCCGCCTCCTCCGCTCCCGCCCTCCTCCTCCTCAGCTCCTCCCATCCTCCTCCTACGCTCCACTACCCACCACACACTCGCTCCACCACCTCCACCCATCGGTGAGTACCAATACAAACTTAATACAGTACTGTACTATACTATTTTCTATAGAAAGGCAAAGATTTTCTGTATATGTAATGTATTTCATGGGGCAAAGGGAGGCTCAGGAACGTAACTCCCGTATTTAATCTATTTCTTATGGGGAAAATTGATCCGCTTAACGTTGTTTCGTATAACGTCGGGTTTTAGGAACGTAACCCCGAAGTTAAGCGAGGACTTACTGTATGTGTACATGTAACTCAGTAGTTAGTAGTTAATAGGCAGCTACCAAACAGGGAGGTACTACCGCCTCGGAAGATATTGAAAGCATAATGTGTTGTCTGATGGTAGACCCTGCCTCCATATGGCATCACAAAAATTGTGACCAAGTCCCAAGCTATTGATCTATCTTTCTGCCTCATTTATACACAAATGCAGGGTCTCAACTGTCTCTCTTACTATTGACAACACCACAAATATAACCGTACTCATTCTTGATCCATTTTATTCATTCTATTTCATTCTCCTATGTCAGTTGATATTAATACTGAAGCGGGACCTTCTCGGATGGGTCCCACTGGTCGGGAAGGTTGTGGACCCCAGGGCTGACCTGATCATCATCAAGCTACTGGGGCCTCAACTGACGCCACCGCGGTTGCTGGAGGATCGGCTTTTTTCACACTTCATTTTTCCAACATTCGCGGCCTGAGATCCAATTTTCCTTCTGTGGAGCACCATCTATTAACCTCTTCCCCCGACCTCTTACTACTATCTGAAATTCAACTGACCAAAGCAGCTTCACCCAAACCTTTTCAAGTCTCCAACTACAACCTTTATACCTCTTTCCGTTCTAAGGGAGGTGTATGCACCTACTGCAACACACGTACACCCAAAGCTCGACTCACAGATCTTGAATCTTCCCTTTATGATGTCATCTGGCTCAAAATATCTCTACCTACTGTGACTATTTTTCTTTGTTTCCTATACTGTTCTCCCAACTCTCCCAACTATTTCAAATTCTTTGACTATCTCACTTCTTGCCATGAGTCGTTGCTATCCACACACCCCAACACCGAGATCCTCTACCTAGGGGATTTCAATGTACATCACAGAGTGGCTTGGCTCTGCAAGGGATGACCCAGGTAGAGCTGAGGCACTCTCTGTTTCCCTACTTAATGATTGGGATCAAATAATCAAACACCCTACACGTGTTCCTGATCGACACGATCAACTTGCTAACATTCTTGATCTTTGTTTTACCTCTAACCCCTCACACTATTCATACTCAATTTCTGCCCCCTTAGGGTCTTCTGATCACAATCTTATTTCTATTAAATCAAACTGGGCACGACCACCTCCCCCAGCCCCCTCTAAATGTCAACTATGGCACTCTTGGAGGGCAAGCTGGCAATCCTTGCGAGAATTTTTCACCGAATTTCCTTGGGATGAATGTTGCTTTTCCACTTGGGACGTCTCGGAATGTGCTGACAACATTGCTGGGGTTATACAGGGCGGTATGAGTGCATTTATGCCATCTTCTACCAAAACTTTCACATTACAATAATGGTTTGATCGCTCCTGCTCTCTTGCTTGCAGGGTGAGAGATAGGGCATATCGAGTTATGAAACTATCTCCTTCTCCTATTAACCACACCTCTTTCATTACTTCTAGGCATTGTTGTAAGGCTATTCTTCGTGGAGCCAAGCAGAATGTTATAAAAAGAAAGACCGCTATCCTGACTAATTCTTCCTCTAGTAAATCCTTCTGGTCCTTAACTA